GCGGATTTGGGCAAAGCTTCGACAGACGTCAACATTTTTCGGGACAAATGACACGTTCGAATCATCAAGATTTGCATAAATGTCACCAAAACAAGTTAAGATAGTTAAAGAAATGATGCACATATTTTTTTAGGGGATGCAACAACTTGCAATCTGTACTAAAACAGGCCCTCAGATGAGTCTAACTTTGAAGTTAGCTCATACGATCATCAAACGTAGCAGCATTTAGAATTAAAGATCGCCTCTCGGACCTCTGCAACAGATAACTAGTACACCGCACGCACACTGCTGTGCACAAACAACAAGAATGAAGAGTTGCGTGCATGCAGTGAGACTGTGTGTTGCAGAGGGGCATTTGGACGGAATTTACATGGAATTACTCGTTGATACTGATAGAGAACATATAAACACAAAGACATGTATGAGTAGCGAGAAATGCCCCATACTTCATACTTTGTAAATGGGGGGGTAGGCCCAGTGAAAAATTTGTAAGAAAGGCGGGCCAAAACGTCCTTCAACCGAGGGTACTCGCCTGTTTTTGACTGTTTCTCACCATTGTAACGCTCGCGTATTTCACGTCATATCACTTATATTCACTCTGCTACGGCCCTAAAATTTCTGTTCATAATTTTGCACGCGTCATTGACGCACTTATACTACTTGCTTTCCGCACACCTGCTCGATGGGCCGTAAGACTGTGTGTTGCAGAGGAGCAGTTGGACAGAATTTACATGGAATTACTCGTCGTAATAGAGAACATATAAACATAAAGGTTTGGTAGTGAATACATTTTGTGTTTGTTTACCATCATGTTATTATTGAAACGTTCCCCGTTATACCTCGTTATAACGTCTAGTTATACCTTGTATAGACTGCTAATTCGTCCATACACTACAGTAAGGTAGCTCTAGCTCTACACACATGCTTCATGCACTCACATTACTTGTCATTGTCCCCCAATGTTTCATTGAGTTTAATTTAATTTAATTTCCAATACTTCGTTTTTTTTGTAATGAGAACAAATACTTGAGATCGATTTCTGTTTGTTTGTGAGTAGGTTCCAATGTGATAGCTCACTCTCTACATAAGGCGCTGTTCATGACGCACCTGTGAAAATGCCAAGCTCAAGATCTCGAGATTCCGCGAAAAACAGGGACAGGAAGCGCACTAGTGTGTTTGATCGACTTGGAATAAGCAAAAAGTCCCCAAAACATGGTGCAGAGGTATGTCTATTTACATGTATAGCTTCTGTGAAACCCCCTTATTTTGAATGATCGAAATATGTGCATTATGTAAACGTTTATTTTTATATAACTGAAGCAATAACTTTAGTACATTAGTATTGCTGAAATTTCTAGTGTTGCCGATATATATACAAAAAATGGGCCATGTTTTGTAGGCTGTACTAAGTATATATGGTTACGGAAAGCACAAGTTAGTTTAATGAATATATGTATTATGAAGCACATATGAACCCTAGAGCAAACAATGCTAACAACTGGAAACCATGTAGACCTTGGTTTACGAGTAACGTTATGGAGATATTTTAAACAATGTTCTCTTTTATTAATAATCAGCTATTTTGGATTCATGAAGGCCGTCCGTTTGTCTCTGTCATATTAATTATGGCTCTGTGAGCCGCTGCCTGGCAGATCATAAGAGAATCATCTTAACGGGCCATTCCTGGCTGTGATAATCAGATATTGGTGCATTGTAATTTGTAGTGAATTTTTAGCTTGGCTTAGGAAGCTGACAGCGATAAGTGGTTGATCTTATTAACTAAATCTAACATAGCTGATTATTAACAAATTAATACATGGTTCAAAATAAGTGTATAACATTATTTAATTTGACTAAAACTAAGACATGGTTTCACTTTTTATCAATGTTCGCATTATAGTTTGTATGCTCTTGTTACGATTATTCATTCTACACAGAGACAAAGTTCTTCCGCAACAGCACCAGACCGGCAAGAAAAGTGTCGCATTTTCCTTCGAAGTGGAAATTGTCCATATGGTGCCAAATGCAAGTTTCTTCATGAAGCACCTCCATCTAAATCACTAAGGTACCGTCATCTGGAACAGTTGAGTTTTGATGGTTTGTACTTTTCAGGTGATCACATGTAACCTGCAAATACATGGACTTAGGGAAGTAACTGATATATTTACTGTTCCTTACTTTGCATATGTAGGTACATGGAAATACAGACAGGCTATCAAAAGTTTCTCTCTGTGGTCGTTTGATCAGTCAGTCAGTTGGTCAGTCAGTCATTCTCCCAATAAACAGCATTCGTAAACATTTGTATGCACATTCATTTTTTAATTGCCACATAAAATGGCACGAAAATGCCACGTTTATCAAAGACATGCCTATTTTATTGATAAATATAGTTTGCAAAGATGTAAAAAACCGTCATGTTTGTTTCTTCGTCATTTATTTGAGCGTGTGTGGATTGCATAGCAACACTTACTAGGATTCAGATTATTGCACTATAGCATCTAACATATAATTTATATGTTTATATATATATTCGTTTATATTATAAACGAAACATGACAGCACAATTAGTGTCGCAGTTAACTAATATTTAGTATTTCTTGTTTTAGTCTATCTGATTAAAATATTTTTATACATAGAATGCTGACATAGAATTCTACTTTGAATACATCCACTGTTAGATATTGGGAGGGGGAATCCAGCTTTAATATTTGTTTATGTTGTAATGTATCTGTTACAGGGATAAAGAAAGGTTGAGTGGAAAAGAGGAAATATCACCTGGAAAGGTATCTTAAATTAATATGCTATCTAAACAGTCGTCAGACTCAATTGTAGCTATTTGATTTTTGGTTAAACATTCCCAGTTTTTGTAATTACAACAATGCATTTCTAACAAATAGAAAAGTTCTGAAGTAGTCAAATTGGGCTCATGTTTCGTGCTTGTGTGTTTACACATGTCTGCAATACTGCTTTCTTTAATGTTTGCTATATACTTTGTTCATTAAGTAAAGGTTTGAAGTGATTGACTTGATACTATATAGAATGTAGGTGATCACTTGTATTTTATTCAGCATGGCCGTCACGTGGGAGAGAGTGGTGAGTCTCGTAAACGCCGTAAGAGCTCGAAGGTTCAATCTCGGGTGATTGTTTCTGGCCAAGAACTGGATAGTGTGAGCAGCAGCGATGATTCTGGAAATTACGATGGTAAGATGGTGGATTTATCGACCTGTCTCAGGTTGGAAGACATTTTGGCATAAGGAGCCGTTATTGGTATGAGCACAACGTAGTGGACTAGAAATTTATTAAAGAATACATGTGTTTATCAACAACTGTGCACAATAATGGTTAATATCTGCATCAGTTAAACTGGCATTTGTTGCTTTTTTTCCAATTGTTAGCATTGTGAATGTATATGTGCAATGTATATATGTCAAGTTGTTCCTGTGTGTATATAACTATATTTGGCAGATTGGAAAGCAAAAAAGGAGAAGGAGAAGATGATGGATTATCAGGAGGTGTTGCTGCTGGAGAAACAGAGGCAGAAGCTGCAGAGAGAGCTGGAGTTGGAACTGCAACGAGAACAGGAGACTGAGGCCAGGCAAAATATCGTCATAGCCAAACGCGTATGCACATTTGATCCCAGAAAAAGAAATATATATCCATATATATATATATATATATATATACTTCATCCAAGAGCCCTAATAAATAGCGAGACGCTGTACAACGGGAAAACGGGAAAAATTAGTGCCTATTTCACGGCCCCAATATTATTCTACCTTTGTGTGCGGTTCCAGCACTAAGTTCATGCGTATTGCGTTAGCAGCATTCTTCTTCATCTCTAAAAAAAAAAAAAAAAAATAATAAAAAAAAATAAAAAAAAAAAAAAAATAAAAAAAAAAAAAAAAAAAAAAAACAAAAAAAAAAAAAAAAAAAAAAAAAAAAAAAAAAAAAAAAAAAAAAAAAAAAAAAAAAAAAAAAAAAAAAAAAAAAAAAAAAAAACAAAAAAAACAAAAAAAGAAAAAAAATAAAAAAAAAAAAAAAAAAAAAAAAAAAAAAAAAAAAATTCAAAATAAAAAAAAAAAACAACATAAAAAAAAAAAAAAAAAAAACACAAAAAAAAAAAAAAAAAAAAAAAAAAAAAAAAAAATAAACAAAAAAAACAAAAAAAAAATAAAAAAAAAAAAAAAAAAAAAAAAAAAAAAAAACAAAAAAAAAAAAAAAAAAAAAGATCAAAATAAAAAAAAAAAAAAAATAAAAAAAAAAAAAAAAAAAAAAAAAAAAAAAAAAAAAAAAACATGCAGACCAACCGCTTCGTCTCTACGATACTCCTAGCCGATAGGAACATGAAATGCGCCAGGGTAATCATGCCTCCACAGCGCCTCACGCGGCCTCGGCATCTACAATTATCCCCAAACCTTCTCGCTTTTGCGGTTAGGAAAGTCGCTTCGTGAGAGTTCGGGTTGTTGTTCCGCGATAACTTTATGAATGAATGGCTTTTCGGTTATCATCCGCGTGTATTGGTGGCTTCACCTAGGCCCTTATCTCTCATTATCTTTCCTAGCACGGCTAATGCCATAATGATGGAGCTGGCAATGTTTTCTCAATTAAGTCTCTACAACGCCAGCTCAGTTACTATATGGTGTAGAGTACTAAATTTGGGCATGTGACATCAATTATCAGCGCCTCAAGCGGCGACGGAAAACGATGTCAGAACCCACAAAAGGCGAGAGGGTTCGGGAATAAATGTAGTATGCGAGGCAGCGTGAGGCCTGTGGGAGGCATGATTACGCTCCAATATCTCGGCCTAGGAGTATTGTAGAGACAAGCGGTTGTTTATTTTAGAGAGCAAGAATGCTGCTTAAGGATACTCTCCACGTTGTGCATGAAATTTCATCGATTTTTCGTTTTCAACTTTATTCGATGGCTAACACTATGTGCCACCTGTTACATGTTGATTTCTCCATATAACGGTACATGTGAACCGTCAGAGCGTTTTGCTTTGCCCGCGTACATGTGTAGTAAGCAGCGGCTGACGTCATTATGACGTCAGACACATGATACAACCAGCATTTTCTCGATATTCACTGAGCCAGTATCCATCCACATCAGGAGTAGATAATAGGGAATTCCCTATTATCTACTCCTAATCAACATCAACCCGGCTACAGCTGTACTACTACTCTGATCCAATAAGTATCCCACAAGAGCCAAAAATAAGTTCTCACACTCGCAACGCCACCTTACATAAGGAGCGCGTTTGTTGACAGTGACGTCAGGGCTCGCCGCCATTTGCATGAATTTGCGTTGGTCACCTCGTAATTTCTCGTAATTTCTCAAGGTGCATGGAAACATTTTACCAATTTAGTGGTGTCAGTTAGTCATGGATATGTCGCAGTAAGTACTAACAGTAGATATTTCACATACGTTCACCCATTTTGCACACAGGCGGTCACTCATTGTGAAAAATAGAAAACGCTTATTTCTCCGTTTCGATTTCTGACATAGTAGCCGATGTATAAATGGATATTTCTCTGTGATTACAACTCGGATTAATTTTAATTTTAACACTCGTTTTAATGCTAACATATTGTGGTAAAGAAGTGGCGTCAGGGATTGTTATTAAGGCCGTACTTTATTAGTTATGCCTCTTTGTTCGCTAAAATTTTCTATTTTAACACAACTTGATTTTTAACAGTTTTTCCAGTTTTCTCGCTAAATATGAAAATTAAAGAAAAATCTGACGCACTATTTTGGTCCATATTGTGCTTAATCATATGGCCAAAAATTTTGTATTCTCACCCTTTCTGGTAGTTGAGAAATATCCAAAATACCATTTTTACATAAAATTTTCAAAATTTGTGTGTAACATAATTAGGTGCTGGAAATTTCATAATTTTTTTTGGCTTGAGCATAGAGATATATCTCCTCTATAAATAAAACAAGTGATTGATTCGATTCATTCGCCAATAAACGTTTAATCTTCACTAGAGCAATATCCCGCTGTACAACGTGGAGAGGATTCCTTAACGCAATACCATGACTTAGTCCTCGCGACCGCACACAAAGTAGAATAATATTGCCGTGAAATATCACTATTTTCCTGTTTTCCCGTTTTACACTCTGGGTATTTATTAGCTCTTGATATATATATATATATATATATCCACAATTGATGACGTGCTTCAGGAGTTTAATATGAGAAAATATGAGTTGATTGGAAGATATGAGGTACGAAGATGGTATTTTTTTTTCGCTTAAAACTCGGGATTCTGAACATTTGGTCTTCTAAGTCATGGAAAAGTACCGAAGAAATGTTTTGCATTAGGTGTACACACCCTGAATAGTAATTAAGCATTGTGCTACTGAGTCGAAGCTAGTAAACAAATCTGTATTTAAGAACCTTTATGTGGTTGCCACTGCACATTGTCTGCAATATGCCAGGATAAGAAATATATAAACTGCAACCAAAGGCAATTTTCGCAGTGGCATAAAACTGATTAAAAAGCCTTTTATACATGCCAACAGCAGGTTTCAGAGTCATCGGGTGATAGCGATTCTTCATCGGGGTCATCGTCGTCGTCGTCATCGTCGTCATCATCTGGTAGCAGCAGCAGCGGCAGCAGCAGTAGCACCGATAGCGAAAGTGAGAGTCCCTCGCCGGTGAAGCACAAGAAGCATGTTGCCAAGCGACAGCTCACTCGAGATGAGTACAAGAGTGAGTTGTCATGTTCCTGCTTCCTTCAGTATGCTGGCAACTTGGATTTCTCACCAGAGAAAATGGTGTACAGGGGTGTGCATAGCACACTATATTGTAATTGTGTTATAACTTATGCAAATGATAATGCCATTGTGCAGTGTTACGGCAATTGGAAATCGTATCAACTTGGTTATGTCGCAACATTTATCCTGGAAAAAAATCGCCTCCAGTTGGGTACAAGAAATGCAGAATGCTGAGTTTTTTTTAACAGTGGATGACAGTGAAATGTAGGTGAACATACACTAAACGATAAACAATGTTAGTTGTGGGGAAGTGTCTGTGAATGTTAGCAGACAGTATATATATGTGTTACAGAGAAAGTTGAACACAAGTCGTGTAAGACGTCCGCATCACCGGCTGGTAGCAAACACAAGCAGCGTGTGCAAGAGATTCCTGCTATGGCCCACAAGAAGAAAAAGTAAGTGCATTTCATTCTGTCACTGAACCTCCTGTACTGTGCCTAATGACAGTAAGATGTTTACTTACCAAAAGTATGCAGAAACGTACAAGTTTATGTGATGAAGTTATTAATAGTATAACCATCATGATGGCAGTTATACATGGTGAATGTGTAGCATTGTATACCCCTCTTGTTTTTATCTTCTCATATTTTCTCTGTCATTTCTAATCTGTATACGTGTTAGTGCAGAAACACATCTCTAAGTTAATGTCTGTGTCATGCCTCAGCTAGTGACCTTATATGAATTCATGAGAATTGTTTCTTGTTGGTTTTATCAATTAGTTCATTTTGTTATTACCGTTTCAGAGTGCAGAGATATGAAGCAAAGCTACTCTCATTGAAGGAGAAAAAGGCATTAAAGCGAGATGCATCTTCTTCCTCTGAACCAGAAGTACCAAAAAGGAAAAACAAGTAGGTGGCTAATAAATAAACCCATGTCTATTAGAAAATAATTGCCTTCTCGGAAAAATATCTGGTTAATTCCTTTTTTTTAATACCAGGTTGCAAATGCATAAACAGAAATATGAAGATGCCTCACCCGAACCCATGAGAATAGACAAGCATCATGTGAAGAAGCATTCCCAACCCCCACTAGACACCAGGAAGGCTAAGAAGGGAAAAGACAGAACAAAACTAATTGCAGAGAGAAAATCCATAACACCCGCAAGAATTGGCAATGTAAAGGGAAAACATGCCAAAAGAGAAGGCATTGTGAAGGAGAGGACGCACACCCCCAGCCAGGAAGGAGACGGGAAGAAAAGAAAAGGTGGCTTCGAGAGAAAGAAGAAAAAGCAAAGAGTAAGCCCGTCCCCGGAGCCTGTGAAACGCAAACGAGAGTATGCTGAACCAAAAGCACTTACACCCGCTAAAAAAGGAATGGAGAAGCAAAGGGTAAGATCTCGTAGCATATCCGTTGGCTCTCCTGGTTCTAAAAGCAGACATTCGTACGAGCGTGCGAGTGTAGAAAAACCCAGTAAGCAGTCTCTCTCGCCCGAGAGCAAGAAATTTACTATGGCGAGGAAACGGCACGGCTCTCCTAAAACCGAGCACAAGTCTCGTATCGACGCGCACAGAGACAACAAGGTGAGGAAACTCGACTTGGTTGACGAAAGCGGCACGAGCGACCACCACGCCGCTCACAATAAATCCTGGCACAAGAGTCCCGGCAATCACAAGGACGATCCGAGCCGCCTGCACAGAAAGTCGCAGGAGAGCGGACGCCGGGGGCTGTCGCAGGATTCCGAGAAAGAACGCGAGAAGGTCGCGTGTCGACGCGACGCACCCGACGGCGGCGGCCGATACGAAGCCGACCACCGGCAGCGAACTCCCGGCGGAAACTACGCGGACGACGCGAGGCAGTTTGCCGAAATACGCGCCGCCGCCGGCGACTACCAGGAGTCGGGCCGGCACGCCGCCGTCTACCAGGCGCAGGAGAAGCAGCAGCGCTACAAGGACCCGAAAGAGTACGATTACGGCGCGCGCGAGTCAACGACGCGCGAGCGGCGCGACTTCCCGCTGCTGCCGGACGACCGGCGACCGGACTACCAGCGGCTCGACGCGCTCCCCGATCCGCGGCCGCCGTACCTGTACGATCGCTACGGACGACCGATAGCCGTCGGACGCGCCGCGCTGGAAGACCGGCGGGCGCCGCTCGAAGACAGACGAGTCGCGATCGACGACAGGCGGCTGCCGATCGATGACAGGACGCAAAGCCTGCTGGACGACAGGCGCGGTCTGCGGGCGCTGGACGACCGGCCGGCGCCGTTAGACGACCGCCGCGGTCTCCTAGACGACAGACGCAGCCTCCTGGGTGACAGACGCGATCCGCTCGAGGAGAGGCGGAGTCTGTTGGATGACAGACACTTGCCCGACAGGCGGACGCCGCAGTTGGACACGAGGCGGACGGCGTACGATCGCGCGTTCTTGGATGACAGACGGGCTTACATCCCCGATGACAGGCGTGCGTTTGTCGATGACAGACCACGATTGCCGCTAGATGATAGGCCCCCCCTCCTACCTACTGACACTAGGAGGGGCTTAGTAGACGAGCGAGCCGCATTAGCACTTGAGGAGAGGAGAGGTGTCCAGCCAAGGCAACCGTACAGGGATTTGTATGACGAAGGTACATTCTTTCAATTTCCATACAGCATATGAATATTTAAATTTAATTGATTAAATTTATTAATAATGAACAGTGAAATTTTTATGTAGCAGAATTTAAACCTATTTTAACTGAAAATATGCGAGGAACCTAGGGGTCATGTGTCCCATTAATTACTCAACATGAAGTTCATTTTATGTATGTGTTTGTAGTGCATATCTACGTCTACAGGAAGTGGCTTCTATCCTGTATTGAAGGAATAGTTATTCATATTCTTTAATAATATATATGATTGATGAATTATGTATTTTGTCATCAGAACTTTTCAGAGGTCTTCACGGAAGCAGGAGTCCTTTTGGTCTAGAACGAGATCCTTACAGAAGCTTACTAGCCGCCAGAGGTGTGAACATATAAGTATTCGGTTAAAGTCAAAATGTAGCAAACGTATTGAGATCTAAAATGTTATCATGTGCCCCATCTGGTGGCATGTGGGAATGATAATTGAACAGCTGCTATATTTCAATGTAATTCTAAATTATTTGTGAAATGGTTACCAGATTGAAAATGTGTTTGCGTAGGAACGGAGGTACTAGACCCTAGAGAGAGGTTCGCTGCAGACAGATTTCCAGAACTACCTCTGGAAGACAGGACAAGTCCATGGTTTGAGGCTCGCGGTCCAGCTCTCAATCGGTATCTATAAGTATTTGCTAAATCACCAATGCTGCAATTACTGCAGTGGTCATCATTGGGTAACCTCCCTGACTGCTGAGCTTTGCTGGTTTTTTGTGTATCTGTGTGACATACCATCGTGATTCTGCCCCCGTTTGGAATTTCTGCGTGAGATAACATCGTAACCGTCTGTCGTACGAACCGTGATTTTACATCGTTTAATTGTGACTTCTAGGTATGGCGACCCGATCAGCATCTCCGGCACGTTGGCGGCGAGAGACAGAGACGTCGAGCGTTATCGTGAGCCGATACCCGAACCAGTGGTCGAACGCGACGCACGAACGCACGATCCCGTCAGGGAGCGCGAAGCTGCCAGAGAGCGTGAAGCTGCCAGGGAGCGCGACGTTGCAAGAGATCGTGAAGCTGCCAGGGACCGTGACACGGCAAGAGAACGTGACGTGGCGAGAGAGCGTGACGCGGCGAGAGAGCGTGACGCGGCGAGAGAGCGTGACGCGGCCAGGGAGCGTGACGCAGCGAGAGAACGTGATGCTACCAGGGAGCGTGATGTGGCGAGGGATCGTGATGCTACCAGAGACCGTGATGCAGGCAGGGAGCGTGAGCCAGATCGGGAAAGGGGTCGGGACTCCGACAGCAGACAAAGGGAGCGAGGCGAAAGGGAGTCGAGACCGGAACAACGGGATGACGATCCGCGGAAGGATCGAGGGGAAAAGAAAGATGATGCCTCAAAAGATGCGGAAGAAAGGTAATTCATTCCTCAAGTCATTGTTAATTTGCCATCTGTAATGGAGCACTTCTAGTGCTATTTTCAGTACATTCTAAGCTATTTTGGTGCATTATAAGCACTGTTCTATGGAAGAACAGTGATTTTTGTCAGCGAGGCGGTGTTTTGGACAAATTTCTGTGTAGTGGCGGAGAATTTGAGCGAGGTGGCCCGCCTCGCTCGTGTCAATGCAGGGGAAACACTGCATATATATATATATATATATATTTGTATATATATATATATAGGGCAGTGTTTGCGGATTCAGAGACTTGGAGACTTACTGTGTTGTAGCAGAGAGAGCAGAAAGCGGGCAAGAGATGAAAAGGATGTGACGCCACCACCGTCGAAGAAGCAAAAAACAGAGTTTGAGTGGATGCAGAAGAAGGATTGGGAGATGACATGGAAGGTAAAGAAACATTAAAAACGGATGCGAAATGGCTCAGGCAGTTTTGCAACAGGTCTGGAACGGCTTGCAGAAACCAATATAGATGCGAAGAAACAAATTTATCTTGACAAAATTGATGTAAATTTAGCTCAATTCAACCGATGCTCTTGATAAAGTCATGATTTGTCACGTTATTCCGATCGTTTTCATATTTTCGCAACCTTTACTATACCCCTTTATGTGTTTTTGTAAAAATTTAAATGAGTCGTAATGTTTAGGAGCCCGAAGCAGAGAAAGAAGGAACTGAAAGCAAGACTCCACAAGTTCAAGAGACAGTGTCAGTGGAAGTAGAAGGCAGTCAGGAAGAAGGCAAAGAGAAAGATGTTGCATCTGATGTACCACCTGGTATTAACCCATATAATACAATTAAATGCATCTGTTATACTAACTAAAAACTATTGCAAGCTCTAAGACTTGCTGATATGTCTATATAATTTGCCTTCACTTGATAATTTAGTTAACCAACAAAATATGAAATTCATAATGACAAAGTAATGAAGTGACAGAATTTTTTTCGAGGGGGATTACACACAACAGTGCAACGTTTGCTGTTAGGATAATACCCTGTTTTACAGAAACTCGTTATACATGGCACTTATTATACATGCTTGTGTTGTCTTCGTCGTCATACGTGTATTTTGTCTTACAGAACAAGCAGGAGGAGAGGGTTTTAGCGACGTTAGCGATGACTTTGATGATCTCATCAACAAAGTAAGATTCATGTAACAATGTAATAATAGTAATGGCTACGTTTTGATGGTGCATACAATATATAAATGTAAAACCTCATTGCACTAAAACTATATGCAAACTTACGTACTTATTCTGTTTCTGAAATTCAGTTATTAATTTGGATTATCTATTTTCTCACAGATGTCAGATATGGAAGAAACTTCTCCTAAAGAAAGGGTGAATGAGGGTGAGGGGGAGGCTCCATTTTCCCCCACTAGAGCAGAGGTTATAGACGAAGTTAACGGAGGAGGGTAGGTACTATGTAGTGTGTTATGTTCTCTGCTTGTGTAAAAAAACGTTACATTGTGAAAATCAAAATTAAAACACTGGAGCACTAACTAGACTAGAGCTATCTGCGAATGCCGACATTTTCTGACATGACATGTAAATGTATGCAGTTCAACGTGCATATCTTACGCTGGTTGTTGCTGCAGGCCCACACAGGACGCAGAGTTAAAGTCAGATGCTGCTGATCACGACAAGGCTGAACAGTCCGCGGGTATAGACTCTGATCTGGAGGAAATCTCCGAGGATGAATTGGAGAACATCATTAAGGAGGATGAAACTGGCAAAGAGGAAGATGAGGCTAGCAAAGAAGTGCAGGAGAAAGGTACTAGCTAGGCAGTTTCTGTACATGTGTTCTAACAGGATGATGCCGTAGTGGGTGTAAATTATCAGTTGCTGGATTCTGTCCTAGTCATTTATTTATGTACATGTTTGGTATGCAGACATGAGATTCTTCTTCAGATCGGCTGATTTCTGCAATTTTATCCATGCAAATATATAAGGATATATAACTATTAAAATATACAATACTTGTATATATGTATATAGTAAAATATGCAGGGTGTTATAATCAGTGCGACTTTCTGTGCAATTGCTACCTATTCTATCAACAGATCCTGGTTTCTACTTACAATATCTCAGGAATTCGTGTAATTTTCTGAGAATTGCAATCGCGTTTGCACGTGTACGTTTTCACCCATGCTGCATGGATAAAAATTATTAACATAAAAGTGCACTGCTCACTTGCCATACAGTTGGGGCTTGTGAAATATAATAATGGCAGTTCAGGTAAGCGCTGTATGGAGTGTTCAGTGGATATGTCAATTCCACTGCCTATCCAAAGGTTAAGGACTAAAAAACTATTTTTTCCGATTCAAAACTTTGAGTGTGAGATCCTTTGAAATTGAGCCCAAAATATAGGAAATGCATGATTCAGGGTCTGAATTAAAAATGTGATCATCCTATTTAATTACCTTCCTATTAGCTAAAGATTGAGGTGTGTTTTACCAGATACCAGACCTGCCATTTTCAAAACCTATAAAGAATAAAGTGCAATACTTCATTCATGTTTTATTTAGTACTAGTTTTAGTGTATACGGTGTGATAAAGTGTATTGCTAATAGTAATAAAGTAATAAATAGTAATAAAATTGCTTTTAAATTCATTTTAAGCCCAAAATTCATCATACCTGCTATCTTCAAAATCCCCTAGCATCCGGAATCCCTAACATGCAGCTTTTTAATATGTTGTGATATTTGAGTGTCTGCATCGTGTATTCCATAGCGACTGACGTCTTGGATGTTGACTGGGACAGCTTAGTACATGGACCACAGCTAGAGGTGAAAGTACCAACGTCTGCACGAAAGCGCTTCTCCCTCTTTAATATCTTCTCTCGCATCGGTGTGTCGAAGGCATTGGCTGGGCCTGACCTGGTGAACAAGCTGAAGGAGATATGCCAGGCCGAACTGCGAGAATCCGGTATTGTTATAGCATCTTTACATCCAATTTCGGCGCTTCATGTGTTTTATTGATATGAAATGTACAATTATAATGGTCTGATATATATACAGATAACAGACGTTTATTTATTTTCATTTTTTTGGATGGATTCATTTACATGCGTGTCGACGAACCTCATTTACGCCATTGAATGCGTTAAATGCCAAATTTACTATATTGGCGAAACAAAACGCTGCCTTGCGGATAGGTTTGTTGAACACCTAAGATCTATTCGCCTCAATTTCCATGGTTTTCCGGTTGCTGACCATTTTAACCAACCGGATCACCACATTGATGACGTGCGTGTGTGTGGCTGCCAACTGACACCATATTACAATAGCTCACGTCGACACGTGACTGAGCAGAAATTAATTCTGAGGGTTGGTTGTTTAAATCCAGGGGGCATGAACGTAAACTTTAATTACGTGTGATTTTTGAGTCCATTGCTTCCAAAGATTCTAGAATTCTTTGAGCGAGTTGTGTAATAACGATTAAAAAAAACCTGGTTTAAACGGCTTCTCTCCGACACCTTCTGCGCGTGATATGCTGTATCTAGGATTATTGTGAGTGGTTTCGAAAGCAGTTCAGATAGCATAACTTCGTCGTTGCCAGGACAACCAGAGACAGAGCTGAAGCTGCTTAACGACGTGGCTGCCTTCCATGCCCGTGCGCAGCAAAAGAACACTCAGCGAGCGACGGCCATCAGTGATATTGGACCCAGCAGGAGGGCGCTGTGTGCTCGTGCTGATATTGAGATCAGGCGAAAGCTGTGCAAACTCACTGAAAAGGTTAGCTGCTTAGCTGTGGTTCCCAGCAGATGATTGTACGAGAGTGTTACATGTTCGTGGAGGTTTAGTAGGTGACATGTTACTATATTTTTAAAATAAATATGCTGTAATGTGCAAATATAGAATATTGTGTAATTTTTGCAGGTTCACGACCATCCATATGTGGGCCACCCAGTGGATACAGAACTGTACTTGCAGAGCGTAAAATTGTTCAGGAAAGCAGATAGTTATGCTATAGGCTCAGCTAGTATCTTACAAGTATGATTTATGTGATACATCCCATCGTCAGTTGTCAATTGAATGATGATGAATGCTATACATAGCAATGGTTACACGATTCATAAAAGTAAAACGATTCCACGTTAATACATGTAATATTGGCAAATATTATACTGGTGGGAAATATTTTTAAAAAAGAAACATAAAATGTGAAATTCCTGTTTTTATGGCCAGTATATTTTAATGGTAAGGCATGGTTACATTGGTAGACATACAATTACGTGCAACGGAGCAGGTCTCAGTAGAGAATGGAATTTCCAAATGTAATCTCGCCATCAGACACTGACACTATCGTTGAATATTGTGGGAAGAAACGTTTCCACTCGTTGTTTTATGTAATCACTGATAGCCCAGTATAGATATGTCATGAAGTATTGAAATGCTATTTGTCAAACATCTGTAACTGGCAATTTGTAATTGAATTGTAAAACTAAAAGATTTTAGTTCATCGGTAATGGATCTTATTAGAATGAGATCATTTTGTTGTCTGCTTCACAGTTTGGGTGACTGATATAAGGTTGCTGTAACGTGTTGTCCTCAATTTCAGTTCGTGCGTGCTTTATCCACTGTTATTCGATCATTTCATTTTCTTGTAGACATTCATTATTACCCAGCTGTCTTATCTTTCTTATCTGTCCCATCCTTCTTTATTGCGACCAGCAACATTTCATGTTCCTTAGCTGCTATTATACTGTTTCCACTTTCCGAGCCCTTTACTATATGTCCTATAGTCGATGGTCCTATAGTCGGTCAGCTTGGCCTATTATCATTTGGTCAGTATGCTCTTTCATAAATATTTTATTTCACTGCTGTAATTAAACTGTGAGGCGGTATGCGCATTCGTATTACGTCATATTGATTTTATAACTCGTCTGATATTGTTCAGCTTGCGTATATGATTTCCGCGCTCGTGCAGTAATGATCTCTAATCACATCGAGCTTGTAAAATGGCACTCGTGTCCGTTCGTACGCATGGACGCGCACGCACGCTCGCACACGCGTGCAGACACACACACACACACACGCACGCACGCACGCACGCACGCACACACACACACACACACAAACCCATGCGCACAATTCATTACCACCTTCCTATGACTATCTCTGTCGCTGTCTCACTCTTCCGTATGGTTAGCCATCGTATCATATTTCGTTATAATTATAAGTAAATTTTCTCTGGATATGAAATAAAAAATGAAGATGCATGGTTGACGTGAAAAGTAGCAGGTGCGAATCTCAATTGAATGAATGACGTCTTTCGCGAAATCTCATCTTCCAGGTATCATCACCATATATCACTCCCATAGCTAAATGTTGTTCACTTTAATCATGGTCTGAGTTGCATGAGATTACTTATCTGATTGCCTATAATTATTGGTGCTGCGAATAGTGCACGCTAGAGCCAAAGTTCATCTGTCCGCTATCCTCACATGGAAAAGACATCTATCGCGAGTAATTTCAGTATATCAAACGTGTAATACAGATTATATTATATTTATGAAAATCAGAACATATCGTATATTTTTTGGTTTTGGTATAAAAATATTTAGTGTGATCATAGATATATAAAAAAGCACGCACGGGCGCACACACAAATGTCGATTGTATATATCTCTGGCCCGATACACATGTTGTAGGCCTATCTGTAGCTACGCCCGCAGTATTAACGTCTTATAATCTTTCTAAGCTTGGCAAAAATTCCAACTGGTGATTAATAGATGTTCACGAACGTTTTGTAGATAAAGTGATTACGTCACTGTAAATAGTAAAAGTAAAAAAAACATTTCCACTTTTTCACAAAATATAAGTAATTCTGTTCACTTTTTATGGTTAAATTGCTGCGTTATACTTCCTATTTTACTATATTGTTAGATGTAAACATACACTCGTGACTCATACATAGCCCATAGCAAGCAATTAATGTCAGGATCATAATATCAAATCGTCCAGGTTTTTTAGATTTTTAACTAGTTGAGAAACAATCTTATCAGGTAAGAATTTGACGATACATTTAGTCCCGTTAGTAGGCCTACTTACTTTTAATGTAAAAAAATGGTGACAAAATTTTTACAATATACACCATAGAAAATTCGTAACGTAGTCAATTTAAGAATTATGACGTGCGAAATTCTGTTGTTATAATACAACAACAGAATTTCGCACATCATAACAATTCTTAAATTGACTACGTTACGAATTTTCTATGGTGTATATTGTAAAAAAATTTGTTGTGAATTTTTGGTGTATAATATAACAACAGAATTTCGCACGTCATAACAATTCTTAAATTACATATTATCAAGAGCGTATTAATTAAGAAGGACGCGCGAGGCAGCACCGACATGCTCGTTATGCAGCTACCAGGTCACGCCACTTCCGTTCCGGACTCGTAGATACAGCCACTATACGGTTCTGAAATCGTAGTTCCAGCCACTACAGGTCCGGAATCGTAGACGAGGACATAATCTGTTTAGGACTCGTGGGTTCGAATGTACACATGTTCCGGCTTCATGAATCCGGACACGTTCCGGACTCGTAGGCCCGGACATAACTTGTTCCGGATTCGTAAGCCTGGATCGACACATCACGGATCTGGACTCGTGGATCTAGGCAGTCGTTTCAGACTCATGGACTCATGGACTTCAACACCCACCGGATACGACTGATCCGTTATGTCACATGTTATATACACATGTTACAGACTCATAGAACCACCGCACACAACTGATCCGTGTACACCCGTTTTGGACACGGACGAAAAAATGCGAAAACATGAATGCAAACGAAAATAAAGCTCTGAATATAAGACATCAAGCCGCAGCGCAGCATCTTAGGGGGGAACTCTGGACAATATTTCTTGTGCTTTCAACGCACGTGTAATTGTGTAGGTACATATGGCGGCACGAGTAGCTTTGTCTCCTCGACCGCGATCTCACGGTAAGACCTGATTAGGTGTTAGGTTTAGTAGGAGAGGCAGGCAGGTGACAAGACCGCTGGGAGCTGGCACAAGATCGATCGTCAGATCAATGTATTTCGGGCCGCGCGACCACAGCAGCTAAGTTGTTGCTTGGACGCAAACACGCGCAGCAGCAGGCGTCCGTCCTCGTCGTACGCATCCTTCTCGTGACACCTGCCAACACGTACGTCAACACACGGCTGATGCCCGTGATTGACCTTTGCCAAGTGTTTACTTCACGTTGAGAGGTAGGCGACAAGGGGGAGGGGGGAGTCGCACATATTTCTACGTATAGTGAGTGCTGTGTGTTTCATCGAATTTCTGCTGAAACCTTTACCTGTGCCCACCATATAAGATCACGATAATTAGAGCACTGTATATAACAATGAAATCGTGCATTATATATTTTCAACTCTACAATATTCACTGCTCGAGACAACATATTGTATCGAGCAGTGAATATTGTCGAGTCGAAAATATTCATTATTATTAGAACACATATTCAAGTAGGGTTGTCTAAATTACATCTTGCTTAATTAAATGACGCGTAAAATCACGATAAGCCGTTCACTCTTCCTATACTGTAACCGATCATATTTGTGAGCCGAGATTACCCGTACATCTACCTTAGAACCTTAAAATTCCAGTAAATCCAAAAACACCCAGTTGCAGATCCTTGTAAGGGGAAGCGTAAATAATCTTAATCACTTCAATCTTGCACGCTCCCTGACATATGATACTACCTACACACACGCAATACTGACATACTATCCCCGGAATACCACTGTCTTACCAGTAAGTTATAGTCCACTGTGTTAGTGATTTATGAGCTATAGTGGCCTTTCACAACCACGCACGCGCGGACGCACGCACACACGCGGGAACGCACGTACGTACGTACGTATGCACGCACGCACGCACACAGCACACGCACGCCACGCACGCACGCACACACACACACACACACACTACGCACGCACGCACGCGCGCGCGCCGCAACACACACACACACACACACACACACACACACACAACACCACACACACACACACACACACACGCACACACATAACACACAGTCACACACACACACACGCACACACACACACACACACACACACACACACACACACACACACACACACACAACACACACAGTCACACCACACGCACCACCACACACACACACATCACACACACACACACACACACCACACACACACACACACACACACACACACACACATACACACACCATTTAGGCCTGAGTTTATATAAGACCATGTAAGTTGAAACAGCCAGATGGTAACGCAAAATAACAGACCGTAACTCAAGCTGCGTAATTAAGCAGTCGACATTTCACAAGACGAATGCCATAGAAAGGATAAAAACACAGCAGAACAAGTGAACGTACCGTGTTCGCTTTTTCGTGTCGCGCCCGCATGCCGCGAACAGCTTCTGTGTAGCAGTTATTCTTTGTCTGCCATGTGTTCTAAGCCTGCTTAGAATGTCGCCACGATACACTG